GTTAAGCTAGCAATAAGTCCCTCCCCCACCCACCTTTTTTCTTTTCTTTACAATGTGGCTTTCAAATAAGTCATGGCTGTACGGCAGTGAAGCATTGGTGTTGAGCACTGATGTCATGCTGTCTGATGATGTGATGATGATGATGGTGATTGGAGGGGTACTTTAATGTCGATTGAGGTCCTCGGACACGGAATGCGTACTCGTACTGCGCTGATAAGATCCTTTTATTGGGTGAGTACTCTCTCCCTCGACAAAACTACCGCCATCCATGCCTTTCACCAGAAATCTACCCTTAGTGGGTGGAATTAGGTGTTGATAGGTTGATTGGTTTCTTAAGAAGGGAATTTGCACCCATACTTCCTGGAGGGACTTGCATGGACGGTGGATACTCGATGTGGCGGAATTATGATATCACCATATGGTATCGTTACTGACAATCGCCACGTGACAGTGCTGCTCCGCATGAGGACATAAATGGCATCACGTACTAAAGAAGAACTGATAACTTTGAGATATGGATAAAAAGGTTTCATGTTACCAGACCTGAGTGGACAAAGTTGTGCAACAGTTGATTGACTCCAAAAATTGTACCGAATTGTTATACAGTGAGTTGGAAAACAACTGGTGTACACAGGTAGTACATTTTCTCTCATTGTTCTTAATAGCATTCCTTGCGTCCGCTCTTTCAGTCGAACGAGCGTAGTGAATCGTGTAAAAGTACACCAAATGCTTTAGTAACGTTTGCTAACCAGTCGATAGAATCACATTAATTTTCTCATGCGCATTTCCGCTACGGTGAAGTTTACAGCGCTTTTTCCATCCCAGTTATGAGAGGGTCATACTTGGACCTTCAAGCTGCTTTTTCCTTGGTGTGTGATGTTAACAAGCCTAGCCATTTACTGTCGTGGTAACCTTGTGCTATCCAACAGCGTGTCTATGTGGAAGCGTCTCAATAGCTCTCAACCGTACAGAAATGTGTTCTCTTGTTCTATCCAGAAGCCATTAACTGCATCCCGTCTAAAGTCGACCATACGTCTGGTTCGTGCTCCTAGTGATTACCTCTTAAACCATTCAATTACTGGGTTGGAACCGTGTACCATCTGCTCTGCTCCTTAGTTAATTTCGCTTCATTCTTTCGGGTGAATGAGCGGGCCTTACGAATGCCACAGTGGCAAATCTTCGTGAAGTTTCCTGATCATCTGGCAGCAGCACAAATCCAAGCACCGAGGTACAGCAATTTGGAAAGCGGGTGACTTCTTGCCCATCAAGTATATCCGGCGCACCTTTTATCCGAAAGTCCTCCGATGTGTTCCAATGACAATCTAGGCGCCGTAACGATGTGCCCATTGTGGTTGAACCGGTGCTGAATCCATATAGTTTATACGCCGCACGCTTGTCATTTCAAGCCAGTGTTTAGCAAAACACCAATAGTCTATAAGTGTGTCATAGTGTCGAACATCCGCTGTTCTCGTTCCAACACGACTTTCAAGGCTGTTGACCTAAGCCGTGTGACTAGAACGTTTTTCGAAGTCTGTCGGTGAGGAGATGGCCTAGAAATAAAAACATCTCGTTATAGTACCACCTACTTCTTTGAATCGTCGAATTCCTATTTCCTGGTTGTTTCCTATGCTGTTTTGAAGGAAGTGCAAACAGATCAATATTTCTACGATATGTCTGCCCGGGAAAGTGAACCAAACAGCACGCGTAAAAGGCCAAACAAGAGGGATGGTGAGGAGAAAGACGGGAGCATACAATGGAAGAGTATGAAACTCTCCCCCAGTGGCCAAAACCTGGACCGCCAGCGCCGTGCGGAAAAGTTGGAAGAGAAATTGGAAAGTATGTTTGAGTTACTCGTTTTTGAAAAGGTCCTATTTTACACGTTTTTGCCGCCCCACAAGATACCGTTTCCAACTCTTTCAGGACCAAGAGAACAAGCTGCTTGTTGGTTCTGTCTCGGTAACCCCCAAGTGAAGAAACACTTGATCGTGAGTGTGAACACCCAGGCTTACTTAGCTCTTCCTCGTGGTCCCCTGGTCTCAGATCACATACTCATCCTTACGGTTGGACATCACCGAAGCTGGACTACGTGTCCGGACTACGTGCGACAAGAAATTGAGGATTATAAGACTCGTCTGAAACGAATGTTCACCAATGAAGGGAAGGCCGTGGTGGCGTTTGAACGGAACCTGAAAACACAGCACTATCAATTGCAGGTAGTAAATTTCCTTGTTCGCTCAACCCTACTAACTTCGTTCTTTTGTCTAATCTGTTCATTCAACGCGCTCCTAATGACAGATTTAATTGGTTAGGTACCTCCATGGCTTTAGGGTGTGCCATCGTAATGTCATCACTCGTTATGGCGGTACTCTCTTCTTTCGCCGTTTACAGTCTTTCTACCTATATCTCATTGTGCTGCTATTCCTTCAATGTGCGAAATCCGTAATCCAAATCAGAATTATTCCGTCACGTGGACTACATAGTTTTGTACGCCTTCTTGTGATGACAGATTTGTGGTGTTCCCACATTTTGGGGCTTCAGGTCTGTCGGTGCAGAGGAATTTACTAGGGGGAGTGTGTACCTCATACTAAAGAAAGGCACAGACCAATGACAGAATATTGCAATAAAATAATAGTTTGATACTGAAGAAACGTGAAATAACGACTGTGCAGTTTTCTTGTAAGTTTGGAATTTTCTCCTTGAAGCTTGAACTCGCCATAATGTCACTTTTCTGGAAGACCGGTTGGTGCTATAACAGGGGTGGTCTGTATAATATATTTTCCATTGTTTCCTGTTCTTTGGTCTCCGGTACACGGTACGTAGTTTTCCGATGATCATGGTAAGAGTGACCGAAGGTATTAGAATGCCGAGTGAACGAACAGGAATAGGCTATAAACTAAAATGAAGGTAACACGTAACAAGGCCTCTGTGCTTTTTCGAACATTTATGATTTCGACTTATGTATTGTATGAGAAATTTCGTGAGGCCGTTTGTTCATACATGGTTCCATGTTATTTCCTTCTCCGTATGCCTCTAGCAAGTGGCAGGTCTGTGAAGCAAGGTAGTTTAAAAGTGACATCCATTATTTTTGTCATTTGCTTTTAAAGAGCATGGTCACAAAAATAAAAAATGAATGCAAGCGATGAATGAGAAAGGGTAACAGGAGAATATGAGATAAAAGAGAGGAACGTCTCATTCCAGTTCATGCCATCAAGAGTTCCAGTCAGGTGAGATGAATCCCAACGTATTTAAAAATTTTGGTATGGAAACACGCGTCCAAAGACCAACAACGGAAGAAAGGACAAACAATGTTGGTAAGCGATAGCACAGTTATGACTCGCACATCAGGCACAAAGTGTCCGTCATACTGGGTTTGGTGTGAGATTAAGTGGCAAAAATGTACACTCAACGCCATGTGCCACGCATAAAAGTGTCATAAGTACGCAGAGAGCCCACGGTGGCAAGCAAACACAAGTCGCTGACCGTGACCTCAGGAAGTCCCAATCCAATAACAGCCTTGGCAGATTGAGGAGAGCAGATCCTTCGATAGGAGATTATCATCGGTTAGTGGACCAAAAAGTCGACATCACAACCGATTGCACTTAGGATTTACCGCATATTGGGAGGCCAATTATTACTTACTTAGCAGCGAGCCACTATGTTATCAGATTGTCAAGGACTATGAGAGCTTCAGGGAAGGTTTTTAGGGTGAAGGAAAAGTCAGGAACTTGAAGCGTCGTTGTTCTAGAACCAATGTTACGCTTTCAGGTGATATTGTTGCAAAATGGATGGAATAAAAATCATCAATAAATATTGTGTAGTCAACTCGAAGGAACTGATCAAACATCCATCAAACATCAAAACAGAATACAAACTTTTCGCAACACTTCATTAAACCTAGCGGTAAGGAAAGTCGATATCCAGCTAGACTTGCTGTGTCCATCGGACCACATCAGCTAACTTAAAATATTGAGAATAGTTGTTTTTACGCTGATCACTAGCTTTATGACGCTTCCTGCTTGAATTCTTCTTCAGGTCATCCCAGTTCCCTTTGCCGTAGCAGGTGAAGTCAAGCAGGCGTTTCTTGACCTGTCTGCTCGATGTGAAACCAGTCCATGTGCTCTTGAACCGATCCCAAGAAACACAGAGCTGAATGATGTGAGTCTGTTCGAGTGAACTATAACTAGTCTCAGTTTATACACTCTTAGCAACAAGATTTTCGATTTCACTCCGTTTGTTTGACCTTTGAGAGTATTTCACGGTCCCGAAACATCAGACTCAATAGTCTGCAGATGCCGTCCTAAGTCTGGCGTCATCTTGCAAGTCGAATTTTCGTAATGTCCTGTTCCACTCCCTGGTTTTGAGTTGCTCGCGTTATTTATTTGGACGCTGTTGGTGCATTGCTTACAGTACGTAACAAGCCAGTCGAGGCTCATCCACAAGTGGCTAGTTCTTTTGCACAGCAATCATTTTAGGACGTAATTCTGCGAAAAGTGACCACTGACTTGGAAAGTCCTTCAACCTCGTTAGCCGTCAGTCACGAGTGCCATCCTCCAAGGAGAGGCGACCGCCCCACGGAAGACCAAACATTCCGTTACCGTATGAAATCTGTCCCGCAGAATTGCTGATTTCATTGCTAAACCGTTTTGTCGATTTTCCCGTTCCATTTTTGGAAAACTTGCGGCTTGTGGATTGTTGCGACCATGGATCGTGTTGCATAGCAATGCACAATGGGTACTTCTGTCAATACCACAAGAATTAGTATCGGTTCGGTCCAACCGTTTTATCATCCCTACTGTCGGATTACACTGCGTGATTGAAAATTTGCGTGTAGGTTTGATTAATTGAATCAGTAAAACCGTCACACTTCAGGACTAGCTCTTTGCAAGCCAACCCGTTCGGGGATTTTGTTGAAAAAAACTACCACAGTTTCACGGTTAACACTTGTGGATGTTACTTTGCTCAGTATAACTATGGCCGATAAACTAGCTTATCTAAACATTTTATCACGCAGCTGGTGTTCACTAGGAAATTCCAATTATTTGTTACAGCCTGCTGTTTATAAGTGACTAGTTCCGATAAGAATAAGATGTGTTTTGCATTGCCGGTTTCATACAGCTTTGGAATGCCGTACCGCTATAAATAAACTCCATTGTGGTCAAATAAACCTGTCGTTGGACATTTTGTCAACCATCGCATGAATGGAATGGGGTTAGGTGCACCTCACTGCACCGCCACAACATTGCAAGGTTTCCTGTTTGGAAAGCGGATGGTGATAGTTTGATGTTCATTGTAGGTGTGTTTTGAATCTTGCATTGCGGCTTCACAAATGAGAGTACAGCTTTAGGTTGCTCAACTAGACACTGCTACTATTCGGAATGAGATGATTTCCTCAAGATAGCAAACGTAGATTTGATTGATTTCTAAACCAGAAAGTCCATGGTTCGGACGCAACCGTAGCATGCCCACTAATCCTGTCTAGGCCTGGGCAATCCGGCAGTATCCCAGCCCATATAATTCCTTCGAGGTGCGGTTCTTACGATTTCGATCGATTTATCTTGAACGTTTCCTGTCTCTTGCTTTTGCTACTTTGACGTTATTTTATTTCTTCAAGATATGTGCACCAGGGATCCCCTATTTTTATGTTGAACTACCCACCGGTGAACGCTTGTTTGGACAAATAAAAAAGGACCGCATCGCCACGAGTGATATCCAGTTTGGCCGGTAAGTATGGTTATCCAAGCCATTCCCTTCCACGTTATATTTGAGAGAGGGCTGATTGATTCATGGTATCATTCATGTTGATGGGTTGCAGTTTGCCGCATTCTTCTGTAGACTCACATTACATTTCACGGTTTTTCAAGACAGTCTGTGGTCTGGTTTGCTCCCTGCGAGTTCGATGTCAATGCCCCCAATTTTGAACTTTTGTCTGACGTGAGGTGAATATGTTTTGGTTCCACGTTAAACTCACCATACATGGAACCTGATATCTCATTTGACGGCAAACCATTGGAATTTTTAGAGCGAAAGTTGGCTGTATGTAGCTGATAGGAAGACCACAGAAGAATATCTGGCATCTAATCAGTCCTAGTAGCTTGCTTGTTTGGTGGTGTCCGCTTCCTCTCAGTGTGTGCCTTCCCCGTTTCGTGAAGAACGGCAGCTCGTACGAAAACTAAAATACGGGGGGAGCTTTTGATGCCATCCATGTCTTACCGAGATCGCAATACAGCTTCAAAACGAATCTGCTATCCGCAACAGCACACTTAACCGTGAGCTCCAAGTAGGTGCTATTTTTTTTTATCTCTGTAAAGGTTTGTGTGTAACCGGGTGTTCGATTTTTACACAACTATTTAATTTTACCATTGGCAAGATAATGGGATGCACTATGGAGATTTTCAGAAATCCCCATATTCAGATCTCAGAAAGCCAGAGTCTGGTCAACCTGGAACGTACATACGACATTTATCTTTTTTGAAGGGGAAGAAGCGCCAAGGTCATCTCCTCCCGCATGTGCTTCGTACCCATACCGCGAAGCACATGGTCTTTGATGCTCTCTTGAATATTCATGTAGAAGAACTGGATGCTCTTAATGTATATAAGTTTCTTGCGAGTTTTATTGGATCTCAGGGGTCAAGATTGCGTTTGACAATGCGCGACTTTCTTGGCATCAAAATGGTGCATCACTTGGTTCGACAAGACGTGTATATTGTGCAGGATCTGAGACATCTCTGGGTATCTGACCGTCGATATGTCGGAAACATTACCGGACTTGGAGTCAACCGAAGAATTTGAGATGACGCGATCAGGATGTTTTGCTAGGGTAGCAATAGTGGTAGTAAATACAATAATAACAATCGTCCAGCCCTAACAATCGGTGCCGGGCAGCCATGTTACCCGAAGTAGGCACGACGGCTGGGATGCTCCCAGTTTGCCGAAGGCTAGATAGTAGTCGATTTGCCGGGATTGGACTCGAGGTGCGAACTTTCCAGTCAGTTAGTTTGAGCCCGAACCTCTTAGCTTTCTTGAGTTGTCTCCTCTCTGCTGAGAAGGGCAACATTTTCTGCGCTAAATTCGGAGTGGCAATAACGGGAAATGACGAGGCAGAATTAGGTGGAGGATTTTACGAGAAGTATGGATGCTGTTGGTGTTGCTCCTCTTCCAGATACAGACCCACGTTACCCTCCCTGTGCTTGTCACATCAGTTGGCCCTTTCCTATCTACCCAATCACAAGTTGTATGTTCTTGTTTCATCCGTTTTCTATGAATTTTCATCATCTTTGTCGCTACCAAAGACTACCAATTACCAACACCTTAGACATGCATTCGGTTTATGGTCTAAAAACAGAACAAGGAGCAGGAAATATGCACCATTGAGTTGAGCTTTGGCATCCTTTCCTTACACACTGTCCCATGGTTCGTAGAATGCGTGAGGAGCACAACTTTGATAATTCA